ATGTATATATATATGTAATTTTTTGTTTATTTAATTTTATTTATTTGTAATGAATTTGTTCTCATTGTTTATTTATTTATTTATTTCTTCCTTCTTTTTTATTTATTACTATTTATTTATAAATTCATTTATCAAGACAGTAGCAAATTAAAATCAAAAAAAATCTGTCCTTTTCAAACTATCTGTTTGTCGTCACATTTCTTTTCAACCTTTGACCCCATTTCTCATCATTCATCCTTTTCACATGCAAATAAATGTTGAAAATAAAAAAAAAGAAAGATACAAGAATGTATTAATCAGGAAAAAAGGAAAAGACTGCAAAAAAAAGAAGCAAAATAAAAGGAAAGTATAGAGTGGAAAAAGAAGAAAGATTGATAATTGAAAAAGAAAAAAGAAGAGATGCTTTTTATTATTGCTACTGAATTATGCTTCATTTAATCTCATCTAGTATATCCCGCTTTATCTTGTAAAAAAAAATAGGAAAAAGAAAAAAGAAATCGATAAAAGATGAAAAAAGAGAAAATAAGAAAAAATGATAAGCGTAAATGATAAGAATGGAATGATACAAAAGAAAAAAAAGAAAAAGATCAATTTAAACAGGATAAGGAAGAGAAGAAAAAAGCATTCTCATAACATTAAATGATAATGAAAAAGTTTAATTTAATGGAAGATATTTAAGCTTAATGTTTGATTTCATTAATGTTATTTTCTTTCGATCATTCCATACTACCTTACATTCATTCACTCTTTCTTCCTCTTCTTGCTATTTCTTTTCTTCTGTTTTTCTTTATCTATCTGTCTCTCTGTCTCTCTCTCTCTCCTTCGCTTTTATATATATATTTTAGTTTTAAATTAAATTATTGTTACTACTTTTATTTGTTAAATTTCATTTCATTCTTCTATCTTTTTTATTTTTCGTTCCTTTTTTTTGACCTTTCTTTTTTTTCTTACTTCACTTCGTTTTTTAGCAAATAAATTTTTAAAGATATAATATAAAAAATTTAAACGAATAATATTTAAGTATATAACTTTTTCATTTTTTTTTTTTTTTAGCATTTGGAATAATTATGTGATCATTAAACTAGACCAGTTGTTTATAGTTTTAAATAAAAAAAAATTTTCTTTTTTTTTCAGTAGCAATGACATTCCAAATTTTTAATCGTTCATAGACTTTTTCACTAACGCGCGCACCTACACATACACACAAACACACACACACACATACACACAAAGACACACACATACACACACAAATATATATATATGTGTATATATATATATATACACAGACAAACATTCATCAAGCAATTGACATCGCAACATCTTCAGTTGAATGGAGGAAGAGGAGGAGAAGAAGGACGTATTGCGCCTAGAATATTGAAAAGCTATATTGGTTTGGTAATCCTCGTAAAAGTTTTCTTTTTTTTTCGACTTATAAATATTCATCAATCGCTGTTGGATAACGATTTTGCAACAAAATTCCGATATTTAAAATATATATTCCGGAATTGCTAAACTTTTTATAACCGGATTATTTCAACCTTTATTCTATCAAGTTTTCCTTTTCCATTTCTAATTTTTTCTTTTTATTTCTTCTTCTGATTACAATTATATTATCAATTCAATTTGATTGATTTAAATTAAAAGGAAGAAAAGAAAAAATTATTATTATTATTCTTCTCAATCTATGATTATTCATTGATGATAATGTTGATTAAATTTCATAATAGCATACTTTTCTATACCTAATATTACTTTTCTACCATTATTTTCCTACCATTACTACTACAAGTACTACCACTATTATTACTACAACTACTATAACTGTTATTATTATTATAATCAACAACAACAACAACAACAACAACAACAACACCAGCAACAACAATAATAATAATAATAATAACGACAACAACAATAAGCCATAATAATACTTATTATTATTGCTACAATTATTGCTAAACTATTTGTTTGCTATTGTTAATAAATCTAAAAATACTATTACTATTTTATTTATTCATTTTTACTTTGCTTTCCTGCAATTATTTATTTCTTTTATAATATTTATTTGATATTGCTATTACTGCTATATCATATTGTTATGAGTAATCATACATATTTGATACAAATCATTTTAATTTATTTGCTATTCTCCTCTATCTTATCGATATATTACTGATACAAATAGTAATAGTAATTATAAAAGGATGAAGATGACGACGACAAAAATATCAATCATAGCAACAATAACATAACAATATTATAATTATTCTAATAATACTATTAATAATGATACTACAATAATAATAATAATAACAATAATAATAATAATAATATTAATATTATTATTATTAATAATAACAGCAACAATGGCAGCACAGCAATCTACTACGAAGCATACCTCCTCATTTACAACTCAGAAACGTGACCTAAGTAATCAACAATTTCTCACGCCCAATTCGACCGATTTCAGTTCACCAGCTACAGCAGCTGTTGCTGTGGACGCTATTAACACAGGCAATCTGAAAGTAATCCCAAGCAGTGGTCAACCTAGACGTGAATCCTTTCTTTATCGGCCATCAATCGACGAACGTGATTTCAATCGTTCTGCTTCACGTACTTCATCGATCACTTCTATTGCAGCACCGTAAGCATCTTTTAATTATCGTATTTCTTTTTTCTTTTTTTTCCTTTCCATTTCATCCATTTCCTTTTTTTTTATTATCTTTATTTTTAATCTTTCTACTTCTAATAAATCTCTTTTTTTCTTTCATATTTTAAAATTTATTTAAATTTGTATTAGCATATTAATTTAAATATACACATCTCATAGATTTTCAATTCTGAAAAAAATAAGTAAAGAAGAAGGCAAAAAATTATTGTGGAATAAATGAAATACAAAAATTGTAATATTAATGAAATAGTATGCTTATTTGTTGCTTATATTGTTTAATTAATAATTTAATTTTACCGCGCCTATGTATATGTATATATATGTTTATTTGTTCGACATATTAAAATATGTAAATTAAAATCTTTCTTATCTTATCTCTTCTTTTTTTTTTTTGTTTGTATGTGTTAGTTAGTTATATTTTTTCACATTTTGGAAAGTATGAGAGAAAATCGACGAAGTTATTTGTTTACCTATTTGAATTTCAGTTACAAAATTTGTTTTTGCTCTAGTTTTTTTTTTTTTGCTTTGTGATTTATAACTTTGCTTAAGCTAATATTGGAATATTATTAAAAATGAAAATCGAACGTGAAATTTGCAAAGAATGATTTTTTTTTCTTTTATTTTTGTTTTAAAGCATACTGCAGAAAAATTTTAAGGAAAAAAAAAAGAGAAGAAAATAACTGATTTTACAGAGCTAGTTAAAATAATTTGGTTGAGATCATCGTATTGGCCTAATTAATGAACGGACTTAAATCAAATGACCTTGATAGATGACATTTCATTCATTTTACTCCCTGTTATATTTTGACCATTTCCTGTGACACAATTTCGATGATTGAATCATTTTGATTACACTGCAAATGACAGTAGTTCGTTAGTACGCAGCTGTTAGTACCATTGTATCATAGGCTATGTTATTTAAACTTTTTTATTACACATTATTTTTACACCTTTTTATCAAGCTATAAAGAATGCTTCAGTTATCAATTTACAAATATCGATTTTCTAAGTGATTAAAATGAAATAAATGAATAAATGTACATTCAATTTTAAATGATAATTTAAAAAGAAAAATTATGTGAAAAGATTTTTAATGAAATGAAAAATACAATATTTAAAATGTACTCTCTCTCCTTTTATTTTTCTTTTTTTTATCAAAATTTTTGAATTGAAAAAAACGCTAAACAATTGAAAATTGGATAATTTGAAAATTGAATTCTATCTCAAACCTCAGAATATCATATAAATAAAATTTGTTAAATAGTTAAATGAAAATGAAAAGGTAAACAAAATGAACTTATTGATAATTTCAAAAACAAAAATGAAATATATTATTAACATTTCAACTAAACGATATCTTTTTTTCTTCTTGTCATCACTACATTGACCATATATGATTAATTGTTATCAAATTCTTATCATTAGAATAATCAATATGCATTGTTAGCCTTGAAAACTATATCAGATTAAACTTAAATACATCATACAGGATATTTGCATGAGAAGGATAACTTTAATTCATTTCATTTTGCAATAAATTTTATTCATTTTGATTACGTATACAAATAGTCAAATAACAATATTTTAATATTTTTTCTTTTCCTTTTCTTTTTTTTTTTAAAATTTATCCATTGAGATTCATCAATCAAATTTTATGCATTTTCAGAATTAATGCATAATGCTGCTAAATAAATAATTTTTTTTGTTGTGTTTTAATTTCAAATGAATTTGCATAAATCTATTATTAAAATATTCGTACGATAATTGCTTTGCTAAAATATAAAAATAAAGGTTGAAGGATTAAGGGATGACTAAAAAGAATGTATAAAAATTAATAATTTGATTTTCTTTTTTGTGTGTATTCATTAATTTCTATTACAATTCTTTTTTCTATTCGATTAAATTTATTTACCTATTGAAATTACTAATTTTTTTTTTTTGTTTATATTCAAAGACAATTGCAATATTTATGAATGAAATTAGATATAAGAGAATTTTACATTACTCGATGATCAATTAATTCTGTTTTAAGTTTCTGGAATTGTGTATTACTAAAATTTCATCCAAAATATTCAATGAACCATCTTAAGCACTAATTTTTCCTATAATACCTATTGCAGTATTTCAATTTAAATTGTTAATTTTGATATGTTACAAATAAAAATACTAGAATAAGATGGAAGAATGAAATAGTAAATTAATATTTGTAATCGATAAAAATGGTAATGATAATATCAGAAGAAGAGGATAAATGTCGATAGGTAATTCTAAAATACTACGATAACATACGGGAGGATTAAATAGGGAATCAATATTTGGAACAAATAAAAATGCTATGAGATAATATGAAAAGAAGAGAATAAAAATAACTAAGATAACTGGAAGATAAAATAGAATCGTACACAAGGGATGAATAAAAGAAGAAAATTGGAAATGATTAATTCACTAAATGATGCTTAATTATATGATTTATATCATTTTTAAATTATCATTTGCATTCTTTCATTGACTATTTTTTTTTTTTAATTTGTATTATTACTTTTCTTAATTTTTATTTTTTCACTAATTTCCTTTTAAAAATTTAATTCAACTTTTATGATAAGATAATATTATTAAAAAATTTCTCCCAAAGATGTTTCATTCAGTGATGTAATCAGAAGAAGATTGATTGATACAACTACGATTAAATTCATTTTAAGAATTAACAAAATAAAATGAATTTTAAAAAATTACAAATTAATTAATCTAAAGTGATTAATTTGTTTTTCCCCTAAAATATATATGATCTGCGAGATTATCAGTTGAAATTCTTTTAGTTAATCACAAATCTACCCATCTTCTTCTGCATGTATATATATATATTTTAGGGGGGAAAACAAATTAACATACACATGTATGTGTGTGTGCATGCTTCATGCATTGTACACATGTATATGCATGTATGTATGCATATGTGTTATATTGTGTATGTGTGTATGTATGTGTATATGTATGTATATATGTGTACGTGTACATATGGTATGCGTGCGCATGTGTGTGCATGCATGTGTATGCAGTACATGTGTATGTGCTTGTGTATGTGTGTGTATGTATGCGTATATATGTATGTGTATGTATGTGTGTATATATGTATATATATGTATTATGTGTGTATATATATGTATGTAATATGTATGTATGTAAAAATGGATATATATGCATACGTGTATGTTTGTATGTTATGCAATGCATATGCATGTGTATGTTTGTATGTTATGCAATGCATATGCATGTGTATGTTTGTATGCTATGCAATGCATATGCATGTGTATGTTTGTGTATTATGCAATGCATGTGCATGTATATGTATATGTATGTATGTTTATTGTAATGTTTTGTTCTCTAGAGAAATTCTACCTATTTTTACTAGAAATGCAAAATATCCATTTCTATTAGCTTTTGTTGTTTTTAAGAGGAAACTAAATTATATCAAATTGAATTACTTCCTTTTCTTCCTCTCCCTCCCTTCCTCTCTCTCCCTTCCTCTCTCTCTTTTTCGTTTCTTTTTCGTTCTATTCCATTATTTTCCCTTGCTATTTCATCTTCGAAAAAAAAAAAAAAATTCCCTTTTAATAGTTAATTTTTCAAAAAAATTTATTGACAACTTTCTAACTATTAATGAAATAATATCTTTGATGAAAATGAAAAATTTTACTTCTTAAATATACCAAAATTGAAATTTATAGTTGAAAAATTATTTTTGGGAAAATTATTTTGAAAATGAAAAAAAAATTTTAATTTTTTTGCAAGCATTTTACTTTTTTATTATTCTTCGTTTTCTTTAGAAAAGAAAAAAGAACGAACGAAAGAAAGAAAGAAAGTGGGAAAAGAAAAAGAATGGAAAAAAAAAAAAGAAAATAAAACCATACTTTATATCTTATTTTGGTGAAAGAGAAAAATAATGTCTGAAAAAAAAAATGGCCTTAACATAATCACATATTTCAGCTAAAGTAAAAGAAACTAAATTATGGTGAAAAAAGTCGCAGTAAAGGGATGAAATAAGCGGAATAATTTGATGTCACAAATAATTTCAAGAACAAATTTCGATCAATCGGCACCAGTTGTTATAATAAATGTCTAAATGTTATGCAAATTTAAAAGGGAAAAAAAATTTTAATCAAAAATTTTTTATGCATAAATGAAAAAGCCGAAAATGTAAGCCGGTTATATTTACGTTTCCCTTTTGTAAATGTACATACATTTGGTATATATTTTGCGAAAAATCAATATTCACGCGATGTTTTCTTTATAAATAATTAATTTTATCTTGAATTTTGAAATTTAAATTAATTTTTTAAAAGAATTGAGGACTGTTAATATTAACATTATCAAATTTCACGCTCTAAATTTGAAATTTAAATTTAAAAAGATCGAAATTAAATTAAGTAATGTAAAATTTTCTGAAGGAATTTCAACTGCGGAATAAGAAAGAGGCGAAGTTAAGACAGGTAAAAGAAATAATATGAAGAAATCTTGGATAAAAAATTTTTGCATATCATTAATTAGCTTCAGCCAAATTCTTAGCTTTGAAAATTTTGTTTGAAATTTTAACTGGTTGATCAGATGAGGTGACTTTTTTATTGTTCTCATCATTCAATACTAATATAATAATTTAGTGTTATCGTAATCATTGTCATCATTATCGTCATTATTATAAGCGATATGTTAGCAGGAAATAGAAACTTTGTTGGCATTTTCCTATGCAACATAAATTTTAATATCATAGGATGCTTGCCAGAATTCCTATTTCAATTCGCTAAATCATCCCTAAAAAAAGGAGGAAAGGAACGAAAAAAGACGTTAAATAATTCTTTGAATGTTAGATAATTAAATAATTATTCAAAAAGTGGCACATAGTATATAAAGAATTAATTACAGAAAAAATATGATAATTAAGTAATTGCTTGAGGATTGAAGCAAAATGTCTGAATAATTAGCTGTGAGAAAAGTTGGGTAATTAAAGCAAAACGAAGCATATTGTTAGTTAATGCAAAGTACTTCGTGCACATTTATTATTATTACCATTAATTT